ATTACCCCATGCTAGTTTTGAGATTATTCTCTTGTTTCAGAGACAGAAAGGGAAAAATATGTTGAGGTTGTAAGGAAATAYAAGTGAAAAGCAGAGAAAGACCCCGATGCATGAACTAAATAAATGACTAAATAAATAATGCAGCTGATTACTGCAGCAGTGGTGAATTACAGCAGCCACAACCAGACTATCTCATCTGATCTACCTAGACAAGCCAGCTATTCTACCTCACCACGCAAAAGCAAATCTTCCTGATCGTACTTACTACGACAGTGAATCTCTTTGTGGTATTTGTTAAGAAATATATGAATTATTTCTCTCTACAGTGCTGCAAAAGCCAACCAGTCTCGTAGTGTTGAAGGCCATCCAAGAGAATCAAACCCTATATTGCACATGCATGTATTTTTGGTGACTAAGTACAGATGTCCAAATGTTCCTTCTCTCCCCTGGGTACCTCTTTTTACACCCTGTTTTACTYGCTGAAGCACTGTGAAAGCAGACCCAGACTACTCCAGAGGCTTGTTAGGGTCAAGATTGCTGGGAAGCACATTTACAATGACTGTATCCTAGCCGATCACCTAGCACGTGGGAAGCCTGGAATAAAGTGGGTGCCAAGAACTTGAATTTTATATTCCCTATAGCTTCAAAGCTGAAATAATCAACGGCAGAGAAAGACAGAGAAAGAGAGGGAGAGAGAARYGCAATTAAGGAGAAAGAAGCAGTCGCCAGGAGAGAAGCCAGAGAGGGAGAGTCGCAATGCAAAAGAGCATTAATTTAGACAAGATAGGAATAATCACCTCCGAGTAACAAGATAACCACAGCTCACCCTGGGATGCAGCCAAGTCCAATGTCCTTTTGATCCCTAGGAGGAGAGGGATCGGCGTGTGCTTTTCCCTGATATTTTAATCATTTTCTTTTTATCACTATCCCTCTCSCCTTCTGCCTGCAGGTTTTACCCAMACCAGGTGAAYGGGGAATATCAGCATCACCAATTTGGGAACTGGCCTCCAGCTTCCCAAATAGCCTCAAGAGGCAAGAACACTTTGGGCCACTGTGCGTTTTGGCTCTTTCACTCCTTCGTTCTMCCTAAAACACCCATTTCTTCCAGCAGATAACCTGAAGCCAAAACTCCAATCACGAGTATAYGGTATGTACCAAATTACACAGATTGTGCCCTAGAGGCCAACCACCTTGCAAGGCAAACCATCTTACCTTTGGAGTTGAACAGCAAATATATTTACAAGCTGTTCATAACCTCCTTTTCTGAACCAACTATTCATCTTTTGCTTTTCTATAGGTCTATAGGCTATAGGTCTATAGGTCTAGTCTATAGACTGGTGCAGCACGTTCCTCCTGATCCATGTTAGCTGTACCTGTGCTTGCTTGCCTTCTAGAGCCTTGTTCTGATGAGATTTACAGATAAGATTTAACCCTRATCTCTATTTCTGCATATCCTTAAGGCCCCTTAAACATTAAACACACACAACACACAGGTCTGGCTGGAAATGAGCTGTGGGGTTTCCCCACTGTTCTAATAGCCTGAAGAAACAATTAAAAAAACTCTAGCTTGGCCAAAATACTGTTTAAGTTAGTGACATTCTTCTCCTACTTTCCTAAGAAACATTCCACAGCAATAAAGTTTTATCTAAATACAGAAGTTTATCGCAAAACCTTAAATCCTGTATTTATGTAATTATCTGTGTACTTGGTGACAAAACCCAGTGCTCYATCATTGCTGAGATGGAGAAAGATGAGGAAATTCAGCAGTCACAACTGAAATCTTACATCCAAGTGGGTATTTTGCAGCTCCCCATCTCTACTTCTCAAACTCACTGAGAGTCTAAAGGCCTGTAATACATTCTGATTTATCTTAAAGCCATGTTTTCCTTGATTTCTCCATAATTTTTAGAGGTTGTTTTAAGGCAGAAACTGGCTTGCTCACATCTCAAGTACTGTACTACATTGATTACCTTCTTTAGGTGCCTTGAATTAATTATGAACATGTACACATTTATCAAGCGACAGACTACAGAAAATCCTTAAATTTGACGAAAGAGGCCTAAAACTTATTAAGCTTTTAATCTTGGCTGTTGTCCCAACCAGAAACAAAATGAATCATCTCCTTCAAGTTTCCAAACAGAACTTGAAGATTTACCTCAAGAATATAACTTCAACCAAGAACATAACTTCAACACTCACATTTTTGATGAGCCCGAGCTTGTTTGTGGGAGGCAGTAAGGTGTTTTTCAAGGCCACCACAATGAGCAGACAGAAGAAACTGCAATGGCACCACCTTCAAGGACAACTGAGGACATGGAGTTTGCTGTGGAAGAAATGGAAAAAAAACACATAGCATTGCCTCAGCTTTGGGAAAGGACAACTYCAATCACAAGCGTTTATCTCCAGTGGTGCACACCAAGCTGTTCTCATGGACTTAAAAAGGACCTTAAGCTTTTATGACTTTTGGTTTTCCCAAGAGACATCCTTCTGAAGAAACATATGAAATTCATCTTAATGAGCATATTCTTTATCCTCCTGGCGTACCCCCTTGATCCAGCTTCTAATTTTAACATTATTATGGCCACACAGCACCAAGGCTGGTATCCCGTGCAGCCCTACGATGATTCCCAAAGCCGTGATCCTGCAAGCGGGAGCTAGGCTCGGCCTCCCAAGCACACGGCTGGAAAACTCTCCTGCATTACACAGGGTGGAAACCTTTGGCATGAAATTTCCACTTAGGAAAAGTGACAGAAATCGTTCTGACTAGTGCATTTTCTGAGCAAGAAGCCAAGATGTGCTTAGGTCAGCTGAATACACCAGCATCTCCAGACAAACCCTCTAAAAAAAGAGCTTGGCATTAAAATTTGATGTGGATGTACACATTTAACAAAATCCATATTCTAAATGGCCTGCATACCTCAGGCTTTTTTAGAGAGATGAGTCAGAAGATGCTAGTTTTAAGTGAGATGCAAAGCAGGTTTTTTCTCCAAAACAAGCAATTTCCTTCCAACAAGGCCACACACTGAAGTGTTGCTCTCCCTGCTACTTACTAACCTCACTCCATGCTTGGATTCCTGCCTCCAGTCRCATGGAATTTCAACTGGATCCAACCAGGTCCACTTGGAAATACAGATTTCCTACACACTGTTGGGCAACGACTCTTCAGCAATTACATCTGCCTTTAAATTGATTTTTTGAATTCATTTAAAGATAGACCAAGCRAAAGAATAGGGGAAATATTTTCTCACTGGTGGCACGAACATCATCTTGAATTACAACATAAAGAGCTAAAAGAAATGGCACTTTGAATAGCCCTGCAAGAGCCAAAGCCTTTGGGGCAAAAAGTGGTGATATATGAGGAGAAACAAATTAAAYGGCAAGAGAAAAATAAAGCTGCTGCATCCAGTGAGATAGTTCTCTGGCTCGAGTAGACAGACACCTATAGCAAAGCAATACAGATAGGAAAATTATTCATGTAAAAAGCCAGGGAAGGTCTAGAATAACTAGAGTAAGAGGGAAAGGTAAGAGGGAAAGGGGAAGAATAAACAGCAGCTAAGCTTCAAAATGAAAAAAAAAAAAAAAAAGAAAAAAAGGAAAACACAGATGAAGCTGTGATAAATCCTTGGCAAGCCACAAAGAGAGAACTTACTGAAACCAGCCTGGTTTGGGACTCTCTTGCACCGGTGCCCAGGGCAGYGTTGGCTCTGGTCCCGAGACGTCAGCTCACAAGGCAGGTCTATCTGATAAACTCTGCAGGGAAAATCAAGCTTTAAAAGTTAACATCTCCACATGTCTCCCGTGCCTCTCTCCCTGACYGGCTTCATCCAAATATCCATTCAATTACCCAGTTAACTTTTAATTAAAACTCACAATATGACTAGTATTATATAATCTATTCCTTCCCCTTGAATTATGTGGGTTTGCTTTGTTAAGGGAAAGAACACTAGCATTTTAGATAAAGACTCAAGCAGTTGTAGCCTCCAGCAAGACCTATGGTATAAAAAATATTTCTGTCCGCAAAATGGTCTGAAAGAAAAAAAATAAACAAAATATACAAAAAAACCCACAGATTTTCCAGGATTTTTTTGCTAAATCAAACTTGAAGAACCCGCATCAACAACTCCTCAAGCTTCCCTTGACATTGTCACCTTGGAGTGATTTGAGGTGTTACCTCAGAACAACAGGGTCAAATAACTTCAAAGGCAAAAAGCTACAGTACTTCTTAAAGAGGGAATCACCAGTTCTGCCAACTTGTGCTCCAGGAATCAGGAAAAAGGGAGTGAAAAAGGACTATGGAGGCTCCACTTGCGCTAAGCTCAACCACATCCTAGGCAGCGTGCAGGAACTGGCACCTACTGTCACTGCCTTTGAACACGCAGGGAAAGGAAAAGCATCAGCAAAAACAGACTGCGTACAACCAAAATAACAGCTGATCAGCAAAGAACCAAAATCAGTGTCTCTAATACACCACTTTGCTTAAATGTTTAAGCCATATATGGATTTTTGTGTTTTAGAGTGACTTTGCCTTTTAAAGGAAGATGGTTGATCCCTCTAAGACAACGTCAGGGAAGAGCAATTCACATCCACGAACTCCCCGTCTCCAGAAACACAGTAAAGCACACACGGTTTTCTTCAAAATTTTATTTCAATTTAAATTATGGGGCCAGCCAGATTTTTCTGATAAGAAACACATTTTCCTCAGGAGAAATGAAATGCTACTATGGAAGTAGAATTACAATTGTATACATCTCTTAAAAAAAAAAAAAAAAAAAAAAAGGCGCAAAACCAAAAACCCCTCACATTTAAATAACTAATATCTTTAAGCCTTCAAGCAGATAATAAACCACTTCCAGAACAATATTTTTTTTTTTTAATACGAAGAGCACATCAAATGAGCTTTAGTTTAAATACAACTTCTTTTCCAAAGCCAACGTTCAAATGTTTTCACATACTAAAAAAAGTTTCCATAGACATTGTCTCCCAGGCCTGATCAAGATTAACCTACATCCCGCTCCAACTGTTTTCACTTCACATATATAAATCTTTAGCACGTCTATAGTTTTCTAAAGAGGAAGCCTTACATGGTATGGTGAGTAACTTGGCAAATAAAGTTTTCCTCCGCTCAGCTATGATAAACCAAAATATAAGAGACTGTTAGTACTGAACTAGAATACCCTATCTTGGCCAATTCTGCCTGCCTGTATAAGTGATCTTCAGTTAGATTAAGCTATTTTATTTCCAGTAGGTAAAATGAATCTGTATGCAAAGTAGGCATTAAGAACCTTTAAGAAGCCAATTATAGTATTAAGAGTGATTTTCAATTACAGGGTGAAAACACGCGGTTTTCTGGAGCTATCTGACTTCCCTTCTGAAGGCTTTAAAACCAGCTTAAATGTCACTAACGAGTTTCACCTTGCTGATTGCAAAATATTTTAATCAGGAGGAGGACAGGAAGCAACAAACGTTTTCTATAGCAGTCTCAATCAGGTTCAGCCATGCAGAATTTGAACTTTCAGACTCCAATCCATACGTTGGGTTGGTTTGGATCTCAGCATTACTATATGATGGCTAGATACAGTTTTAATAACATTGTTTAGCTATATTTAGTAAATCCTTTTCGTATGGTCACAGTAACAAAAACACGGTGCAAAATCAGTTTTGTTGGTGTTTTCATAAATACTGATAGCTTGCAGCATTAAAGAACAAAAAATCAGCAAAACCAAAATCATTTGGTTACCACCAGGATATCTAAAAATTACGTTTCTTGAAGGCAGAGGGATTGAAGTATTCACTTTCACAACTATGGTACTGACTTTACTGTAAGAGAAAAGGGCGCACTGCAGGCTCCCCAGAAGCAAAAGAAATCCATATGAATTCAGTATCATCTTTGCCCTTTGCAGAACTGGTGAGCACACTAGTTTAATTGGAWAAGGCCTATATTAGGCAAGAATATAATTTAAAGGGTTCCAGTTCTCTACTTCAGCCTACTCTAATTGATGGCACCCCATTAGATAAGTGAATACAAAGAAATTGTGGCTTTTTTTTTTTCTTTTAATGCTGCAGTACTGAGGATCGTTAAATCAGCATTTTCATGTGATCTGAAGTATTCAATTACATATGAGCATTCATTTTGCAAAACTCAATATTAGGTAATAGTTACAGACTAATACAATAACATTCCTCTGCTGTACAAATTAAATCATACTTTAAAGAAATGAGCAGCCTAGGAGTTATATACAAAAGAAACCAGCAAGCATTGTTGAAATGAAATGCAAAATGTCACTGCTAGCTCTACTGTCTGAAATACCTTTAAAGTAAAATTAACAAAAACCCTTAAAACATATTTCCAAGTTTACAAGTCAATTCTCAGAAAAAAAAAAATCAAATCATGTCCAAAAAAAAATCTCTAAAGCAGTGAAAGGCATATATACATTTTCCTTATGAACTTTGAGATTTCACTCTTGCTATGGTTCAGTATCGGTTTATTTGCAAGACAACTGTTTATCCCAATAAGCTCATATCTTAGATACATTTCCCCTTTGATTACAAATAAAGCACTGCACATTTTTATTTTTTTTTTTTTTTTAAATCAAGGCATATAATCTTATAGTATGGTGCCAGGTATGCACAGGTCACGTTGTGCTCATATCTCAAACAAGGTAAGTGCAAACGTACAGGTTTATTCAGATTTGCAAGCATGCAACCTGTTGCTTAACTACATTAATACCTTCTTTCCTAAACCAAACTAGTATCTATATGTTTGCTGTCATGAACCTAGAATCTTTCTTTTCAGGACTCCTAAAACAAGCAGTGTCTTTGAATTCTGAAATGACACAAATATCAATAAAGTCCACATTGTGCAAGAAAGCAGCAGCTATGTTTTTCAACTTGGACTAAAAAAGAAAAGAGAAAAACAAAAACCGTTCACTGAACAGCAGATTAGCAGTAATGTTCCTCATGAATCGATAAGAGTGCCTGATGCTGAATATCTAACAGCAAATGCTGATTTGGGGTTTAATATTTTAGGGGTTTATTGGAGATTAAGCTTCTTGCTGTGCTGGTCTCTTCAAATCCCTGATCTGTTTAACTAAATAGGTCTTCTCGTCATTAAACTGTTCATCCTCGGTCCTGTCATTCTGAAACTTGCTGAGGAACTCAATAAGTTTGGTCTGGTTCTTTAGGAGGATGTCTAATATAGGCTGCGTCTTGTTAGGATTGGCTACAAACACCTGCAAGAAAGGAAAACAATTTGGCATAAGAGGAGGAAACACAAGGCTCAGTTAAAAAGAAGCTTAGCAAATAAGACAGCGATAACAATAGCCTAAAGTGATGTTTTAACTACTTAACATTCCAATATCCCCACAGAAAAAAAAAAAAAAAAGAGGAAAAAACAAGGTAAATACATTAAAATTATTTTACTTTTATTAGAATAGCAACCAAGCACCAGTTCCAAAGTCAACCCACATCTACAGAAGCTGATCAGCCCTAATGTCCTACAGGACTTGCTCAAAATAGCCCTTGGTTCATTTCTGTAGCCAATGCATGGTATCATATTATATAGAGCATCAGACAGATGTGTTAAGGTACACCAAAAACAGCTATACCTCAAGCTGTACCTCCAAACTGTTATTAGTCATTTGCTTGTTTACTACTAGATCTAAATCTGTTTTAATATGCAAACTTCAATTTAGGCATTGAAGTTCAAGTGATTTGATTAAAATAGAGCTRTCCTCCTCTGAAAACACTTCTGAACCTCAAGCTGCTTCTTGCTTTCACATAAGATCACCCATTCCTCCTTATCCTACTGCACTTCAKCTTCCTTAATTCCAAAATTTTGGTTAAGATTACCCTGATGGTCACACAGTTCATAAACAGTTTATAAACTATTTTTAAAAAGACAGGAATGGAACTATTTGTAAAGACACCCATAATCAAGACAAACATTAGCTATTTATTTAACTGCTTGGCACACGTTCAGATGAGTTCCACTGGGGCTCAGTGGAGAATTTTACTCAGCCAAACAAGTTGGGTCGTGGGGTTGCTGATTAGTTTTTTAGCASCATACCTTAAACACATGAAAGGCCTCAAACTGAATGTTACGACTCTTGTCTCGTAGAAGGTTCATCATTAGCTTGAGATTTTCAGGTTTACTGATGTATTTTGTCATAATTGTGAAGTTGTGCCTATCCAGTAACAATTCACCAAGAAGCTAGAGCAGGAAGCAAAACCGAGTGAAAAATTACTGACATTTGAAATACGAAACATCTTTTTCAGAAGTGTTTTTAAACACGCTTAGTAATTGACACCAGTCTGCAAGAACAGCAAGATTTAAACTCAAAGCTCCCAAATATCGACGCACAAGGAACGTTTTTCTCTTTTCCAGTGATGACGTTACTCCTCCTTCTCAACGCCACAACTGAAAAATCACYTTCCCCTCCCCATCTTACTGTGAACTAAATTGTTAAGAAAACTCTGCCTCACTTCCCCTCCCCAACCACAATTTCATTATCTTTTCCATTCATCACACATTAATCATTCATTACCGATAAGAATGTGATAAAAATAGCGACTCTATTCCTACTTCTTTTACAACCTTCTTTGTACATAAAGTAGACAAAATTAAGACAGAAACTTCAGGAACTATATACACACATTTTCACCAGCTCCTAAGAATTTTTGCTAGTAAATAAAACACAGCAAAGCTCTCAGGAGGACACRAAGCCTCTTTCTGCTGGGAGTTCTGATGCAGGAGCAATCCAGTAAGCAGCACTCTTGCCATGAGCCAGCCTAGTTATTATATTTACGTTTTTAACATTTTTAACTTGAATATTGCTCTAGTCAYGTTATGTGAGTCTTCCTTAATTAATTTAGGGAAAAATATACTTGTATATAGACATTTCTGCAGGTGAAAAGACCCAGCATATGCTCAACGTGACAAGTGAAAGAACCAGAATAAGGAAAACTAATGCAGCCAAAGAATTTAAAGATATGAACAAGTTGTCACTTTTTTGTTCACAACTTGTTTAATGCCAGTAACTAAAGGGCAGTTACTGAAGCCAATTCAAGTAAATCCAAGATCTCTAGTTCTGCATTTCAGAAGAAAATCAAATTGCCTTTACCTTAAGCGACTGTCTTTTTGTCACATAATTTTCTGAATGAAGGAGCTTCTCGTACTCACTGAAGAACTAAATAAAGAATAAACAGAGAGTTAGAACCTTTCCAAGCATCACAGGGCYCCTACCAGAGATTTATAATTGTATTACATTTTATTATAGTTTGATTTATAATTATACATACTGTATGTGTGTGTGTATAATTATGATTATAACAAACCGAGGAGGAATCTGTAACCAAATTGTAAAAAATGTCAGTCAAATCTCAGGAGTCCTGTAAGCCACTACTGTTGAAGCCTCGTATGGGACTTAAAAACCAAACCAATCAGAAAAAAATCCCTCTTTTAGGGGCCTTTGATATTTAGATTCATATTCAGCCACTTGGTTACACCTTAAACCTCGTTAAGGTTTAAGCCAGCTCTTGCTGGCTCTTTGTTCGCCAGCTTGAGCCCAGCTTTTATGGTCTTGTCGTGGCCTGAGACAGGCAAAGGAAAAAACTGGGAAGGGGTTCCCTCTAGTGGAAAGAAAATACATGGCCACAAAACTAGATAACCACCTTTTTGCTCTCTTGCTTTCACCTTAGTCTGTTGTTTGTGTTTTTACAGCGAACAATAAGGTTTTAATCTTTTTGTTTGTTGGTTTTGGCACTAACTACTGTCAGCTCGATTGGTTCAGTGTTGTATTGCAGCTTTCAAAAAGGAAGCTGAGAAAGCAATGACAAGTCTTACTCAGGCTCTTCAAAAACACGACATTGCACACCAAAAAATAGTCAATATTGAAACACATTTGCTCACCCTATCGTAATGCTGTTCCAAAAATTCTGCACTTAGCAACTTGTGTCTTGTAAGCAAGTCCTGCAAAAATAAATAGCACAAAAGCAATCTTTTCATTAAAATATTCAAATAGGACAAGTTCATTCAGAATAGCCAGCAAAAACCCAAGGCTGCCAACAGATCATTTAGCTGTTTTATTAAACCTAGAAGCCTGGGACATGAAAGCTGATATTTGGAAATTGCTAATGAACGTGGTATTACTTAGGAAAGGCAATTTACCCCAGTAAATTACAGTACCCTGCAGTATTATTATCATCACTAAGAGCTTCATTTAGGGATCAAGGCACAGAACTACATACAAGTGAGGTCTCGACTCAGCAGTTCATACCCATTGCTATTATGCTGATAGGTCCAGGAACAACTGTTTTGGGCCAACAAAAAAAAAAAAAAAAATCCCCAAAGTTACCATCCAGTAATCGTAATAAAATGACTAGATCACTTGTTAAATAGCTGTATAGTTGGGGAGTGAAACTGGAAGGTACTGGCACAAGAAAGGGCATGTGTGTTCAATGAATGCACAACCACTTAAATCTGGATTTCTGGAATGAAAATATCTGGGAGAGTACTATGTATAGTGAAGGAATCTCTTGCATTCTGAGAAATAAGAACAGTGTTCAGCTTACTAATACGCACCTGACCACATTTTTTCCTCTCTCCTCATAAAAAATGCTCATTTTGCTCAAGAAAGTAACATGTAAAATCTYAGTTTAAATAGCACAGAACTACAGAAATATTAATGATTGAAATAGGGAACATAAATTACCTTGAACGTGGCAAATGCATCTGAAGCAATGTCAAATGTCGACATTTCCACGTATCTGAAGAAATCATAGAATTGTTCTGACCACAAGATGATTTTAGCCAATGGTTCATGTCTGATGCATTCTCGGAGCATTATTCCACAATTTAGAGCAATTTCTGGAGATTCGTACCTAGTAAGAAAGGCATTCACAAGTTAGCACTGCAACACTACACTGCACAAGCCAATTTTCAGTCCTACTGAGTCAACAGCAACTCAAAAAATTACAGATACTTAACTCTATATTAAATTCCACTTTCAATTTTTTTTCTGAACTATTACTGAAATCACAGAAATTATTGACAGAATAAATTACCTGTACAAAATGAAAAATAAGATTAAAGAGAAATCTCTCTATTCAAATCCCCCCCCCTTTTTTTTTTTTTATAATTGCTTTTATTTGTGGGATTGCACATATCTGGATAGGCAATAAGCAATCTTGGTCTAGAAAGTCGCTTGCTTACACGTCACATTTTACATAATCTTCTGCTTTAGATGAGCAAACACATGCCAGGAGCAGCTGTCCAAAACTGCCAGCAGCAGGTTCAAAATGCACTTTTCACGGACAAGCTAAGGCTGTTGCTACCCACGTAAACTTGGGGAAGGCAAAGCCCCTTCTCTTCCCCTTTCAGCTGAAAAGATCTTGGTCCTAAAACACTGAGCCCTCATGTAAACTCCCCAGACGGATTCTGGGGCAAAGCATCGTTGTGTTCACTGAGCACTAACTATATTATTGTACAGAAAGTTCTCTCTGGCAATAATTTTCACATTAAATGCCACATTACTTTGCCATTCAACCTTCCAGGGAGATCTSAATTCTACTAATTCTTTTGCAACTCACCCCATATTTGAATTTTACTGAGATTTGGCTCAGAAGATGCCACTTAAGTACTTTAGCTAACTAAATGCTCACTTCAAGCACTCTCACTCATCAATATGTTTCAGCACATCCTGTCAGAAAATTAGGATAAGTTACAAATTAGGTTACAAACCCTCTGTCATATATAAACAGAGACATATGCTGAGAAAATAGCTTTCCTCTGTACCTTGAATTTCTTTGCAAGCTATTTTGAGAAAGGTCTGCATCAGGACCTGCACATTTATTTTATGCCATAATTAATAATCCTCTCATCCTCACATTTAAATCCTGCTTCCCTTTGAATCGATAACTTAAACATAGGGAAAAAAAGGAAGCACTCCAGGCAGAGTAGGTATCTTTTGGGAATGGAAGCACTCAGTACTGCTTCTGGGGCTAAGTTTTTAATAGGAGCAAGGAATGACCAGATGCAAAACAGTTGCCTTCTCCACAGAGCAGGATCCCATGCCCAGGACACATGGGTCTCCATACACAGCCATGTGTTTGGTATGAGAGGGCCCTGCAATGTCCAGCACGGAGAGGAGAGAACAGAGCAGGACAGAGCCCTCTGGCACGAAGGGGCCCTGAATCATCCTCTGTTTGCAGCCACTGGAGCTGCTGCCTTCGTGTTGCTACAGGAGTATGAATCACTCTGAACACAGAGCCACAAACTGAGATCAGCGGGCAGGGGAGAGAAAGGGAAACTCCGGCTTTTGTAAAGCACAAACTAACAAGAAAAGCACCACCTAGACACCAGCGCTTCGTAACTGAGGAAGTTCACCAGGAAATAGGCCAAACTGCATCAGAGAGCGCACTGAAAGGAAAGCATCTGCTGTAGCAACTCGGGAAGAATTTTCTTAGGTAGCTGTCAGTCCTCCTTTTGCAGTGACATATCATGCAAAAGAATATTCTTGGTGTCCTGACGGAGAAGTTTGCCTTGCTTTTTCCTAGGGAAATCACAACTTTTAAGAAAAAAATAAATGTATTGGAAAGGAAGAAAAAAAACCACAATTCACTGCTTCTCCATGAAATTTAAAACTTTGGACTTCATAAAAAGGCAGGTTTGCAGGGTACTTACCCTTTTAATAGCATGAACAATATATTTTGTTGAGTGCAGATATATTCAACTGTAGGAGTCCTTGTACCAATTTGCCTTCGCAGGATGTTGTTGAAAATTTGAGCAACATCTTTTTTGCCCTGTCAAAGACATAAGCAGTTAAACACGTAAAATATTGAAACCCACAATGCAAGTAAGAATGAAATGTTACCATCATCATCTCCTGTCCTCACACCTAGGAAGGTCTGCAGCTCGGTACCCTCCCTTAATTAGATCAAATGTGTCACAGCTGAGCACAAAACCCACCATCATGTTTCACTCAGACCATTGGGTGCCTTACATTAAAAAAAACAAAGTCATTTCATAGCTCCCCTAGGGTTTCTATGTAGCATCTAYCTCCAAGACTTGTTCTATCCATGTTTTTGTTCATATAATAGTCTTGAACTCATGTTCTTGCTTGAGTATCATTTAATATTCTGTAATTCTCCCACCTTCTCTAGGAACACAAGTCTGCAGAGCACTTGTGACTCTGGTGTTAACACCCAACTTACTTTTTTATCTTATGGAACTAATTAACAAAAACTGAAGGAAAATCATCCACTGACTTAAAACATGAGTCTCTTATTTTCTAAAAGACAAAAAGAGTCCAAGGAAAACAGATATGCTCTAACCCAGCCCAATTATACATGTGTGCTCRTGCACACATATATATTCACAAAAGAAAAAAAAGGCACCAGAGAGCATGAAAGGAGYTGGGAATGTTCTCTTCACTCCATATTACATACCTATCTTTTTTTTTTCTCTTGGGATACATCTAAAGTTAACAAATTGGTAAGGACATTAAGAAAACGCTCACCAGAAGTACAAACACTTCTTACTGTCATTCATATCTAGCATTTAAAAGGTAGATTTCTGAAATTAGCTTTCCATTTGGGATCATCACGTCAAYGCTATCGTCAAAACTATTTGTTATCAGATGTGATTTGGGAAAAAACAAGCCAACTTGGGCAAAGTTTGCAGAATAAAAGCTTGCTAAGCAATCCTACCTAAAGGCTCCCTGGGCTTGAGAAACTGCAGCTCTCCCTTAAAAACTCCTGGTAGCATCAGCAAGCCTTCAAATAAACTGTAAGCTGGACTTTTTTAGCAAGCATTTTTAAAAAATAACAGCGATTATTCAAAAGTAACGTATTTTAAAACAAAATAAGAGTGAGCACGCTGCACAATAATAATAAAATACGCGTATATCTAAGCATGTAGGAGAAGTGTGGCTTTAAAAATGGCATCTTTGGTGAATGAGCAGGGGCTGTTTGTTAAAAAAGTGTTGTTTTCCAGACAGAAGCGCTTGTTTGTAAACGCTTGTTTTCTCAATTACAATTCCATGGCAAGGCGGCCCCAAGCAACACCAGAACTCTTTGTTCTGCTCATGASTGGAGCAGTGTTCCCAGAAACGGGTTTACTCCAACGCCACTAATGCAGTCATCAACTCTCATTCACTAATATTGCCAATTTGGCCTTGGATTGAGCTCTGGGCTTCGAATTCACCAGCATTTTCGCATTATTCTCACAATTTAACTGACAGTGGCATRCAGTGATGGCAAATGTTGTTAAAAACATGTATTATTAAGTGATGTCATGGCCTAGCAAGGGCAACCAGGCACTGAACCTTGTGCCAACAGTCACGACTGCAAGAGGTAACAGCAACACTGTGCTGGTATTGTCTTCCACAGCGAAGGATGCGGGCGCCCTTGTGCAAAAGGCGGTTTTGTTTTCTGGTTTTCTTCATAAAAATACAAAAAGAACAAAAAGAAAAGGAACAGAATGCCATTTCACAAGGGATACCTTCTCTCCTACAGTCACATTGCCACAAAGCAGCAGGGAGATGACTGCTCAAGCTCTGTAGATACTTTCGTTGACTGCTCTACTTGGAAATAAAGCTTACAGATAAAGATACCATCGTTAACAAGCCTTTGCATTCTGCAAGGTTTGGGCAGTKTACACAGGTTCTTAAGAAAAACAAAGCATTTCATTGCAGCTTTTCTGTTGTCTACCATGGTATTCATCTGCAAATACTTTTGAGATAGCTTAAGAGTAAACAATACATTATTTCCGAACATTATAAAGAAGCGTTCAGAAATAAGAATGAATTTCTTCCCCAAAAAAAAAAAAAAAAAAAAAAAAAAGATGACATTTACTCAACCCCTGACTGAGCTCACACTTTACAGGGGCACCAGAAGGAATAAATACTAAAGCTGGCTTTTAAGTTTAAGAACCTACAGGCAAACAAGCTCGTATCTCCATCCGCAGAGAGACTATCAAAGGGGACAACCCCAATGGCAGAGGTTTGGGATGCCAAAGCCAGTATTTTATAGAAAATGGGAGGTTAGTGCAGGTCTGGAGCATGGGGTTGTGCTGACATWAACCCTGGGGAGCAGCAGGACTGCAGGGCAGGTTCAGTCCTTGGAGAGCAGCCGCTGCACAACCTGGAAAGCACCGGGAATGACTTGTTCCCTATCCCGGGCAAGGCCACATCCCCAGGGAGCGGCGCAACCCAAAGCCCGAAAGCAGGAAGCTGCTCACAGCCCTTCACGGCCCCTTAGAAGAAAATGATTAGTTCTTTTAATGAGAGTAAGCCCGTGTAAATTGTTATCATTCTTCATTAGCAGAAGATAATGAAGGTTTCCTGCGCTAATAAGCGGGCTGCGTAAACACCCCGCTGATAAGAATCTAGAGGTCAGCAAAATCCAGATGACGCCGCACCGCTTCCTTTCCTCTGCAATTAAAGGCCAGCCTATTTCAGAGTTACTTTCAGCTTTCTCAAGTCTCCTTGCTTATTTAACAGCCAGAATGTTTTAGGCATTGAGGGTAAATAYTGTGTGGGTCAGAAAAAATATCCCCATATTTAGCAAAACACAAATCCGAGGCGGTTCTCAGTGGGGGCAGCGAGAAAAAGAACAAGAAAAAATCCAATATTTTTTGAAAGTTGTATTACAACAGGCCTTGAAATGACTGTATCAGCTGCATGACCAACAGGTTTATGAACGCCACCACTTTCCAACAATCTTAACAAGCACAAGGGTCTGCGTGGCCAAGGCTGCAGAGGGAAAGACAAAGGTTCTTGGCTCCTTTCCTAGACAACCACAGACTTGCAGGACCTCAGGGAAAACGGGAAAATTCAATTGTACCGCAGTTCCTTGTAAGTAATAGTGTGATTTTTCACTCTGACACTGGGAGGCTAAATAATTCAATACAATGAGGTGTCAAGTTCCAGACAGAGGTTTGTATAGAGACATAAAGTATTATGATTCGAGAGTATGCAGTAAAATTTTGTGAGTTTTGTCTAAACAGAAAAAAACGATGAAGTAGAAAAAAAATGTTGAATCACTTGGTACCAAAGGAAAGGGAAAATGAAAGATAACTTTTAAAATAAAAGCTTTAACTACATATTTTCAGTGTGTCTCAATAATTTACTTACTGTTTCAACTTATTTAACAAAATGAGATTGGACATACGGCTTTTAGTATTATAGCTAAAATAAAGTGTTTAAGTGATGTTGTGTTCATTACAGTAAGAGATTAATGCTTTTGCCAACACAAATAAAGATTATTCCAAAATTTTAACAGATTGTTATCTGTAGTTTTCTACCTCAGTTTTGCTCAATTTTTGATTTTGTGTAATTTCACTGATTTTGCATAAATTCACATATTTTGCATTCTGTATATRCTTAATTTACTATATCATTTGTAATCACGAGCACACTTCCCAGTGGCTTTGTCACTGGGACAAMGACCCATAGATTGAAAAAAAACATGGATTAAAAGCTGCTTTTTTTTTTTTTGCCATTAAAGTGGTAAGAATTCAGACAAATCCATTTGAGCAGCATATCATACAGCATATAAAAATGTCAAACTTATTTTCTTACCTCAAAGTCAATTAGCTGCAAGTCAGCCACAAGGGTACTTAGAAGACCACTGTTGTACAGCTCTTGAGCGAGCTGTGCCACAGCTTCTGTCTGTGGCTCTTTTTCATTTGTGCCATAGAGGATTTCTTTCATGGCAACAAGATTTTTGGAAACCTCTTCAGTGGCCTAAGGAAAATGGGGAAAAGAAAAAGAAAAACTCATAGTTAGAGACATAGTTAGAGTGCAGGCAGTGTCGTTTGTCTTTAACTGTACATCCTATCATTCTTATCATCAGCAAATTGCTACTTAAAAAAAAATCAGGAAATGAGAGCCTGTTAAAAAATACTTATTCTGCAAACAAGACCATGTTACTAAAACAGAAAAGAAAAAAATGAATCAGCTGCTAGACATAAGCGATTTGGTTGCCAAAAAAGTTATCAAAAATAAAAATCTCTTTTTTTTCCACTGCCTCTGAACTTCCTATTCAAAAACCCCCTCAAGCTAGTGGCACAGAGGCAAGAAGCAGACAAGGTTTCCATTGGGTAGCACAGAGGGACACGGGATCACACTGGAAAACGTGACACAGAGCCCAGCTCCTGCGAGCTGCTCCGGGACACCCGGCAAACTCCGCAGCCGTGGCATTTATCAGGGTTTCTGCCCCACGGTAGGTCCCCATCCCAGTCTGCAGCATCTTCCTTCCCATCTGATCAAAGCCTGAGGAGAACCTCTTAATTTTCATGTTATCTCAGGATACAAAACAGGCAAATAGACCTGGGAAGAGCTGTCATCAAGGACATGCCAGGACAGGGGGCAAGCAAAGGGTCTCAGGAGCTTCCCATGCGAATTCCTCCTGCAGAGGAGGGACAGGTCCGACCGCTCCCGGAGCGAGGAGCTCAATATCTCACGAGTAAAACTAAAAGGTAAACCAACAAGAACACTTCTAAACACCCATCTCTGTATCTTAAAGCACAGTCTTCTTTCCGGGGCAAAACCTATTCCTTTAGATATTTAAGTCTGCATAGCTTGAGAGTAAAACTTTGAAAATGATCACCATAAATAACTGGTTTAGTCATGTTACATTTCTGTCTCTAAAACCTAAGTATTATGAAGTAGTAAGCATATTATTTGCATTATATATAATACATAACACATAATATATATAACATTTCCTTATACCATACATTATATTAGTGCACAGCTCTTAGTAATTCCTTGAACCGATCAGATACGTATAGACTTTAATGTACATGATTTATGATGGGCAGCACATGGAAAAACCAACGAAGAGGAAGAGCAATCACTTTGTGAATATTATCTGTCACATAATGAAGATGAAAAACATTTCTCATTTGCAGGGTGTATCTAGAGAGGCCTAAAACCAGCCGTGACACATGTTCTATTAGGGACGAAGCCATTCCAGCTTTGCTGGGTATGCAAGCAAGGACTCTGTGACCTTTAAGGAGGCTCTGGATCATTTTTAGCTCCTCCACAACTTTCCACTCCCTTCTGCCTCCTCTTTCTCTCCGTTTCCAGTTCCTATTCCCAGYCGTCTCCTCCTTAATTGAAATTCCAAAGGATTTTCTGGGCGCTGTTGGTGAGACAGCAAGAAGCAGGTGCTCAATGTGACTGTTTAGCTCCTTAAGACCTAAAATGGGAATGCCAACTCATGATATTCTAACAGTATTACACTACACAGCTGCTTTATTTCTTGAAAATTCAGAAGAATTCTATCTTTACTTGGAAAAGAACAGAAGCACTCGTCAAACCAGGAGATATAAAGAGATGTCTTTGAAACACAGCTACTGCTACTAAGGAAAGCAGAAGTAATGGAAATTCTCTTGTAGTCTCCACACACTAATTTAGAAAGAAGATGAAAGAGGAAGAAGTCCAGAGCTTCAAGTAACCGTCTACTTTTAGCGAGAGGGGGGCAATTTTGAAGAGCAGCCTACACTTGTGCCCCAGGCCGGTGGAGAACAACCCCCCTCTGACCCATATTAATCACACTCAAAGGCTCTCACTCACCACCACCSCAAGGAAGAGAGGAAGTGTCGTTTAAATTCTTCCAAACCAAACACAAAAATCCAGTCTTCCAAACATGGAATGTGTTTAAAATCATCCACTCTGGCCTAACACAAACACACGACTCAATTACTTCAAAAAGAGACACCAGGAACTAAAGACCACCTGAAGGTGCTTCACGTGAACGTGCCTGGACGCTCCGTTTCAGTGATAACCAGTGCAGAGAGAATCACGGAACCACTCGGGTTGGGAGGCCACCAAGGTCCGGGCTCTGCTCAAGGTCTGGCCAACCTCCAAGTCAGAGCAGGTGGTTCCTCAAGATCCCACCTGGCCGAGCTCTCAACAGCTCCATGGATGGACAACGTGCAACTTGTCTGGGCAAATCTGTTCCCAAAACTGACCACCCACTTGCAACCTGCTTGTACCACCTGCAACTCAGGCCAAGATATTATTTCTAGATATAAATTGCAAATACATTTTTTTTTATGAAAATATTTTTAAGAACAAAGGCTTTTGATACATTAAACTTCCATAAAATATTACATTTTWAAATCCTCTCTTCTACTCTATTCTATCAAAAGGACTAGAAAAATGCTTACAAACTCATTGAGGAATCTCTCTCTATTCCATTGCATGAATTCTGTAATACATCCCAAATATTGCATGTGCAAAGCTATTTTTGCCATTCTAGATTATATTACAGACAGAATGGAATTTAGGCACTTTGTGACACCTAAAAATACAATGCCATATTAAATATCAATAATCAAGAGTTAAGTGAAAAATTAGTCAAAAAGAAAAAAAAAGAAAGAAAGGGCTAACTACAAAAGCATCATTTGCATGATTTCCTATAGTAATCAAGTCTAAATTTGTTGGCTACCTCTTTTGACAAAAAAAGCCTCTAAAGAAAAACCAAACACACAGTGAAACTGGTCAAAAAATCCAAGATAAAACAATCAGACACTAGATATGTGTAATCATWTATCACACAGTATATTACACTCCTTTGGTGCAATACTGAAAAAGGGTAACCACAAAGTTATCTGAGCTTTGGAGAACGGACCAAAGCTGAAATTCAAAAGYATCAGATAATCAATGCACAGGTCAGATAATCAAAGGCTAACTTAAATGTAAAGCAAGGAAGATAAATAAAATACTTATTTCCCTATTTTTATCAAGGACAGTAAGGCCCTATTTAAAAACAGGCATCAYGAAGTCACCCATAATGATGGTCACACCGGAGCCAGCTCTGTGTCTCGAGAGCCACCAACCCTGAGGGATATTTCGCACTCTAGGAAATTTCTGAGACACTCTGAAAACTACTGGTTTTCCTCAAGCACTCAGTGGTGCAAATACCAAGCACCTCCCTCAGCAGCAGGGCTGGAGTATTTGGGCTTTTGAAGTAAATGCTGCTTTTATTTACAGAAATTAATAGGAATATGGTATTTAAGTTGAGGAGAATGTTATTTGTGTTCAACAGGCTTCTGGTCTATGGCTGCAGATTCTAACTACACCTGTAATAAAGTACGACAATATTAGAAGGAGGAAAAAAAAAAAAAGCAAAAAATAGGTAGATTACCTACAGTTTGAGGCCTCTATGCAGTGGGGTTATTTTTTTTCCTCATTATAGAACAATATCTCTCAAACAGAATTATTAAAATGGTAATTGTTATTTACCTTGCTTGGATTTGGAACCTTACTAAAAGTCCAATTCTGGACAGCATACAATTATCTATCTATATTGATGTTATTAGTTTATTATAAAGGCAAAAATAAAAGTTATTTTTCAGACAGCAGTATCTGTCATAAGACAACGGGCTAGGTTCAGGAACCACAGAAGCATTTTGTTTGACTATRAAACAAAATTCCTAACTTAATCTGTGAGGAACCGCCCCATGCAGGAGGCAAGGCAGATGACCCAGCCTTTAACTTTCATTCAACCATGCACAGGTTTTATACACGTGTRCAATGTCTTTAAAGTTTTACTGCTTTGTAAATTACAAAGTTAATGCACTGAAATCTAATTTATGGCTAGGGCAATATGACATAATATTCAACTCRGGCTGAATCACATCAAACAGCCTATAGCACTTGTTCATAGAGAGAGTACCCTGGCCACTGTACAGAGCTGGCAACTTCAAGAAGAGGCAGGGAGACATCATGACTTGTAGATTTTCATTTTGGCCCAAAGTTTGACTTGTTCTTCTGAAATAACCACCTGCACAGGCCAACAGTAGGGCTGAAACAGCTTCCAGGGAGCCCAAATGGAGCTGTTTGGAGCAGGTTAGCCCAAGGTCAGAAGGCAGGGAAGCACAAGTATATTACATGGGTAAATATTTACCTTCACGACAGTAAACATGTGTGCCACAAATCAAGTGAGCTCGCAGGATAAAAATAAATGCTGACGCAAGCCAAAGAGGACGTAGAGATGGAAATAAAACCGAATGTGCCAGCCTAGGGCAGGTCCCATCTGTAGGAAAGGAGGTTTCCTTCCCTTTCTCTCTTCTTCAGTCCCCTTTCTCCAAAGATACGAGTAAAGAAAACCAAGAGCATGAGACAAAAGGTCTTCAGTTATAAGCTGTTACTCAATGCAAGTTTCTRAAATAATCCTGTGTAATAATAAAAGAGAGCAAACTACTCCCCAGGCCTGACTTAAAGTYGGCATTCACAAAGCACTCGAGTGGTAGTGCAGAAGATAGATTAATTACACATTCAGTTTCTAAGGGAAATTGTACCTTTCTTACAAAGTTCTATCTCCAAACTCATCAGGGAATTGTTAGAGAGCATCCTCCACATGGCTTCAAATTAGGTATCAAATTCAGCCTTGAAWGTTCACTGTTATCTGGCAAAAGCCCACCTTTGGAAGAAACCACAACAGTGGAGTAGAAATTTTCATAATAACAATAACAGTAATACTAATAATAATAATAAAATTTAAAAGTCAGAGTATGACTTAAGATGGAATTATTTAAAAAAAAAGGCAAGCAAGAGAGAGAGATTGAGAAAGAGAAAAGTTGCGTTCCTTTCCTCTTTGCTTAAAGAGTGGTATTTGTGTTTATGTGCAGAGAAGTTTTCTATTTCTGTACAACTGTTAGTCATGGAACTGATCTTTTTGGCTACACAGAAAACTCCGAGTTGTAAAGTTACATTGCARAAAGGATCGAATAATGAGTAGTGAAAGGGAGATGCTTATGAAGACACAGGCATGCAAAGATTTTCCCTTCTTAAAGAAAGAATAAAGCATATTAAATATAATGGATATTGCTAAGACTTCACTTATTGCTAAGGAGTCACTTCAGTGATTTCTCCTGACTGGAAAGAAACATGCCGTGAATTCAAGGTGTTCAGTGAGAGGTGGACCCTCAAACACACGGTGACTGGTCTGCAAGACATGTAAGAGCTTTATCAAACCAGCAAACACTCAGAGAACCCAAGATAAACTGCTGCAAGCACGGTCACCTTGATGGAGGTCTTAGCTTGCCCACAAAACAAGCATTTCCCACAGAAACTCCCTGCTGAGATGTGAGGCCTGGTGTCTGGAGCGGTCAGACTCAACATTTGGGCTGCTTTGTGAATAACCAAGAGGGCAGGGGCCAAKATTGTCATAGCCAAGTCTCTATCATCAAAGCCTTGAATTCTCCTCAGATTTAACCTACTGCAGGGAAGAGATGTTGCTTTCTTTCCTCTTCCAAGTGGAACATATAGCTCCCTATAGACCAGCAAATTGTCCATAACAGCTTTGGGCTACAGCATCAAGACACAGGTACATGACGCTGCACACAGTTATGTGCCAGGGAATGATGCTGGTCTGTTCCCCAATACAGAGATGTAAAAAAAGCCACCAAGATGGCACAAAAAGGCACAGATTTCAAGGCAGAGACGCATCTCCAGGAATTAGCAATGAGGCTGAGGTGAAGCAGCCAGTGCCACGTCTCCTATCTCTGTGAGCTCTGTGATGAACCAGGGAAAAGAACAGGATGAGATGGAAGTGTGCACTCTGTACAGGGCTCATTAATTTGTTCCAGCAAGGCACAAAAAGCATCTGGGAAAAATCCCACGGCAGCAGAAGCTGTTGATCCTGAAGAGCATCAGGATAAATATGTCAATTCAGTCAAGACCCAGCTCTCCCTACACTTAAAACAACAGGGCCAAATCGGGATGAAAATTAATTTAGAGAGGATGGGAACACTCTGCTTAAGAAATATTAGTGAGCACAGAAAAGATCAGGCCTAACCTCATACACGTGGCTTTAGCTTTGGATGAGGGCAAGAGAGCTCTAGATGAAGAGTGTGGTGTTAAGGGAACAAAGATCACCGGCTGAAAAGGACAGAGGGTTTCGTAACATTCAAACCAAAGCAGGAAGTCAAAGAAAGAAGAGGATATAAAGCCTGACTTCCTCAAAAAGCATTTATACTTGCCCTTTCCTTGTTCTACATAATTATACAGATATTCTACCATTCTGTCATCTGTACAGATGCCAAGTAAGTCATAGGACAGTTAAATGGTGCTGGAAGAGGATGTGAGGAGGTATCACAGCCTACTTCAAAGGYTGTTTTCCAGGAAAGGTTTTCAGGATATTTATTGTGCTTTTTTGTTGTGGTTTGTTTTGTTTTCTCAGTATTGCCATCTATGCCCTGGTGCTCAGTAGGTGGGCAGTATCTGCACGCAGGCTGAACTTCGAGGTAGTTTTCAGTGAAGATATCAAATGAGAAGTAAATGACTGGCACAAGGCRCAGAGGGCAGGACCTGAAGCAGCAACTCATCTTATCTAAAGGAAACTGCAGTAACACGGGCACTTTTCACCACACCTTGACAAGGGCTGAACAAAAGGCAGGAGAGGGGATRAGCACATCCTCTACCCACAAAACCTCCAAGCTCTTTGGTTTCARTATCAACAGAGTCATTCTGCTCTGCGAGCAATCACACGGGCTCACAGAAACAGCATGACTGTACCATGGTGAAATCGTTACAGTGGACACAAATAATACTAGAAAGCTGTATGGCTATGAGCCATGATAAGAGTTCAAAGTGCTCCAAAACAAATTACTTCAAATATCAGCTGCGCATGGCATAACAACACAAAACAAACCCAAAACAGGTTGTTTGAACAGGTTGTTCAAAGGTATATTACTTCTGATAAGAGTGCAGAAAACATAAATACTGCTAATTGGTTGAGTTTAAGCTATAAACTTCATAAATTGTTTTTTTTTCTTATTATTTGTCACTGTTGTTGAGCCCCTGGAAAACCCCAGCTGTACCTTTTCTGCCTTTTTGTCGGAGATATCTTGCTTTTCGAGAACTGCCATGCTTTCCTTGAGGTTCTTCACGATGTCTGCAGGAGACTTGTGGGACTTGCCGAAGGGGAACGGCATGGTGGCGAGCACACGGGTCCTCCTCCTAGAGCCCCTGCTTCACCTGGGAACGGAAGAGGGGGAAAAAGAAGGCATGTCAGAAAGAGAAGCAAAATGCCACCAGAACAGCATACAGGGAGATCAAGCAAGTGCAGTAGTACAGGATTTGGAAAGGAAGAGCCACCCCTGAAAGCCAAATGGGAAATGGCCATCATAAACTTCTCTGTGTTATTGATTCTTACAAAAGACAAGAGTTTTAGGACTTGAATTAAGATCATTATGTTATTTTATAGCAATCGATGAAAAGTATATTAATAATAATCCCAGTATTGTGCAAGCAAATGTGGGCAAGACCAACATGGATGAAATATTCAAATTTACGAGTTTTTTATGTAAGTGCATAGTGACACACAAGTCAGCACATCCCGGTTGCTCTGCATTGACTGTTCACATACAGGCTCTTATCCGCATTCACTCCTTAATAAATCTAAAATAGACAGTAAAGCCTTCTGCGCAGTGCAAGAGCTGGGAGCACGATGCAGATGAGCCTGCTGACAGCAGCTTATTCCCACCTCAAAACTCTTGTTACATCCTGGCTTTTTTTTTGGATCTCTACTGCTGTGGCTCGGTACTGAAATACAATTTCCTCTAAATGGCCCCCCCACTCATTTTATGAGAGAACAAATTTTGTTATGAAAAAAAATAATAATAAAAAGGATGTACATAGGCCATCTAGAAACACTAAAATAACATCAGATCTTTTTTTTTTTTTTTTTCAAGAAGATGAAGCTGATCTTATGGAAGCAATTTTTCTAAACTGTTTGGCAGATACAAATTCCTTTGTATATTTACACATATATACTTATTATGATGCAGGAAAATACTTCATTGATATGAACGAGCACACAAAAGCTTTGCCTAGGAAACACATATATGCCCATTCAAACAGTAACACCAGCTTCTTCCAAAGGGGCCTTTGGAAGCAGAGCTCAACCTCCAGCCTGCAGAGCAGGGGCCAGGAAATCCTGCATCCGAAACGCTGACCGCGCTCTTGCTGCTAGACACAAAAGGCAGCTGACGCTGACGGGGCAGAGATGGCCCTGTCACCACAAAGGAGGGATGTTACCCTCACAGGCAGTTATTTGCTGCCTTCATACAGTGTCTGTGACCACCAAAAAGAAGCAGGTAGATATCAGGTTATTTCATAGCTAGTATCAAACAGGTGATGCACTGTTAACAGCAGCTCAGTGAGCTTCCAAATTTGAAACCTGATTTTACTGAATTGTATTTCAAAAGAACAAGAATTATCAATCTAGCATGATTTTTTTCTGCTCATTTTTAACACAAACTAGTCAGGCTGGTCCGAAGACCAAGAGTATGAAGATGCCAAACAGAAGCAACCAGTTCTTTAGCCAAAAAAAAAAATATGCGAAACACACAATTTTGGTAACCAAGTACAGAGATCATAACTACTCTTTCATACCTGTACTCCACCTACCACAGTCGGTGTAAGGCCCAAGGCAGATAGCTTTAAAATGAGATTACTTTTCAGATAAAAGGAAAAATAAGAGCATGCAGAAAGTGCCAAGAGCCCTTACTGGCTATTYCCATCCTTTAAGAGACGACACCAGTGTTTCTGTTTTGTAATATAACTGTCCAGTTATAGTAATATCTCTTTCACAATCTGCACCGAGACGAGGCGATAACGTTACAATTACAAAGGCAGGACTGACACCAGGAGATAAMAGCCCCAACCACAGGTCGCTCCCCAATTAAAAGCATCTTACACCTCAACTTGGTCACATGCGAGTGGAACCTGCCTTTAACAAAAGCACAATTCCTATTTAATGAAAAACTAACACAGTTTAAAACGAAGCTTAATGGAAGTTATGGTATTTTGCCACGGGAAGTTTTGACTTGCAAGAGGCAGATGGGAAAATAAGGACATTTCTGCACAACACAGATGTTAGTCCTTTAGCAGCACAGCACCTAAGTGTTCCCTCTATCTCTTGCTTTGATTACCATCCCTACCAAATTAAGATGCGCCCTGGAAAGCAAGCTGGACTCTGAGGCTTGCACATCATCACCGAGAGTACCAGTATTTAACAACTGCTCAAGCRACTCACTCTGCAAGGTGCCTAAGCACACGGAACAGCGCAGATCAGCTCGAAGTGCTGCCCGGCCTYGCTGCTTGGACTGCGTGTTGAAACAGAGCACAAGCCACCTCTGGAAGCAGAATAGTGCTGAGGAAACATATCGGATGGAATCACTCMATTAAAGACTTCAAATGCAGAGGGAAACTCAAATAAAACAAGAAGAAAACCTCCTTTCGCAGCACGAGCATCTGCTCCTTGCAAACTCACTGCAAAGTTCTGGCCAGCTCTAAGAAGTGACCCAGGGACTTCCCAAGACTTAAATCACGGGCACACAGATGTCTCTGCTGCGCTCCTCTTTCCATCTAACATTCCTAGAAATCTCACTATTTTTAAGAGAGGCTATAAAGAAAGAACCTTGTACCAAACGTTAGGCTTACGTAGGCACGCGTTTTACCGAGACCCGAGCAGGCCAAACCTAACCAAATATTACGTCCACTAAGTGCTGGTGTCATGGCCAAATTTAGAATCTGAAGTAACCTCATAAATCCAGTTGGACTGTGAAGCAAAACCACGACACACAGTTAGATGCCCRCGGTTTGAAGCACAACCAATACACAGAGTCACACTGGGACATTTGGACTTCATAAAAAGGGACAGAGGTTCCACCATCTAGTTTCCAGCTACGCCAGTGCAGCACRTATCCACACACACTTGGCTTTATTTATAAGCTTTCTTTTAATTTTGACCTCACTGCCCACAAAAATCAATTAACATTTGATTTAAAGCCAACAGGTGTTTCAGAGACAGCCCTGCTTTTTTAAGTAATCAGATAATGCTTAAGAGCATTTCTCTAAGGACAACCCTCTTCCAAAAACCCTGTTGCAAGGACAAATGGAGAAGCATGATGTACAATCCCTACATTGTGTACAACGATGTCTTTTAATCTATTTTAATTCTCTAAAGAATTGATTCGCTAGTCTAAAGTACATTCTCTTTTAATTGTCATCTCTTTAGTATTTGAAGGGTGGGAAAACACGCTACCTCTGAAATAATACAGATCAACAATGAAAACCTAGAAAACAGCAGGTTTCTTTTCTTTTCCTTTAAATAAACCTTATTCTAAGTAAGATTCTTGCATGACTATTAAGAATAAAAATACCAGTACAAGAAGTAGCTCAGAAATGCCTATTTCTGCAAAGACACAGGATCTGCAGACAGCGCAGCCTCAGTGGGGCAGTCTCCAAAGCTGCATGGAAGGGACAGGTGCTGCCAGCAAAGACACACAGCACCCCCAGCCCTTCTGCTTACCAGATACCACCAGCTACTGCAATGCAAAGCTCATCACAGGCTTCATTTTTTTCTCTGTAGAATTCACCAATAAAACCTGAAATGAAGATTCGCATCATTCGCCCTCAGGAGAGCAAGTGTCCGCCTTTTCTGCCTCCAAAATGCTCCCTAAATACTGCAAAAACAAGCAAGGAAAAATTCTGCGAAACAAGTACATACGGTTCACCCTTTTTTGCCCTTCTCTTGGAGACCTCATCATACAACGTGACAGCCTTTCTTCTGCTTCCCGTGGAGGAAACAGCACTGCATTAAGCCCTCGGCTAGATGCTGTTGACTTGTTTGCAGGTGAACAGTTGAAGGCCAACACTTTCAGTTAGCTGCTAAGGAGCCCAGAGAGGGGACAAAAAACACCTGGAGCTGCTTTCTGGCTACCAYTGCCCATGCTAAAGGATTTCAGGATCAGTAAAACTGCACAGAAAACAACCTGCAGACAGATAAGAAGAAAACTACCACAGATGAAACCAAYTGAGCATAATTTAAGTAAGTCCAAGCAATTAACAGTGAGGTTGCCAGAGATRACCGGGCCAATCTGAGAGGCTGCAAGTGCCAAAAGGGAGGCCTGTTCTCCTCGGCGTGATGCTGCTAGGTCAGCACAGCTGCCCCGGTCTCCAGCATGGGCTAAGCTGTGGGATGACTCACATGCACCAGGAAAAGGGGTGACCAGAAGCATGGGGAAGGTGAAGGATGGGGGAAGTCATCCCTTTATCAGCAAGTCGCTGTGTCACCCGCCCGCCAGCCGYCCGGCCTCACCCCAGGGTGCAGGGGCAGCGGGAACAGCCGCAAAGGGACCAGGGCTCTGCCCGAGCAGGCAGGGAGCCCTCTGAGCAAGCCCAGGCTGATTCGGGTCACTAAAGTGACACAAAACAGGCCTGGTGACAGGAACGAGGAAGGAAACTGCTTGTGAGAAGGTGCTCAAGATGAAGCAGCTCAAGGCAATGCTCTACGTGAGCCCAAGCCCAGGTGAAAGGAGGTGATGGGGGRATGTGGAACCACAGCACGAGGGAACCACATTCCTGACTGCAAAAAGCACATGGAAGGCTTACACAAAGAGCAGTAAATAATGCCTCTGTGAAGGCAAAATACCTGCATTCCCGCTGGATCAAGGAACAAGCTGGAAAATCCACCTGTTCCACCAAAATCCAAGTCTAAGTAGCAGAATTTCTTAATATAACCTCCAATGGAAAACCTGAGGATCATTCACAGAATCACAGAATTATTAAGGTTGGAAGGGACCTTTAGAGATCTTCTAGTCCAAATTGAGGAAATGGGACTGGTGAAGAGCACAAGCCACAGCTCAGTCCATTCCAGCACAAGCTATAGACAGCCCTGCCTTCACCCACAACAACAGGCCATTAACACAATGGCTACAGTAGGAAATCATAACAATTATTGCTGTCAACAGCAGCTGGCAAAACTGAGGCATRAGCCACAGCTCCAAGGCATTTTTGCTACCTCCAAAATACTTCTGCCTCTCCACTCAGTGCTGCTTTCAAGCTGAAGCTACAACAGGGGCACAACTGCACACRCAGCACCCATCAACCGCTGCCCACACAACAAACACAAATTTAGCCATACTAAATGTATGGAACGACCAAGGGTTGACTCCAAGTTCGCTGTG